TTATACTCAACATAAATAGACCCAATTGTTAATCTAATGCAGGGGAGAAGCACATTGAATTATGGAAAGTGAATGCTTCTAGGTATGGCCTATAGTTAATTGGCCTGACATATAGATAACCCATTGCTAATATTGAGATTGGCCCCACAGGCCTAAAGACTTTGGGCTCATGTTTGGTCTAGTGGGTGGAATCTAGAATCTTACATAAGTTACAAATTAGAGGAATGTTATATTTATAAAAAATTTATTTATAAACTCTTACAAATTATATTAAGTATGACCGGTTATACTTTAATCAAAAGTGTATGACCAGTCATACTTAGTGTAATTTGTAAAAAATTTGTAAACGGATCATTCCCCTACAAATTATTCTAATATTTTAGTGCATAAATGGAGGCAAAGCCCAAAAGCAGAAAACAAAAACTACACAGTAGAGAACATCCGTGGGGTTGCCAAGTTATATACTTTTCAATTTTGGCACATTTAGATAACTTTATGGTTCAAAAAGGTGCAAAATGATCTCCTAAACCTCTCACTTTGTGCAACAAGACAGTGTGTCAAGCAAATTATTAAGTATAAGTAATCGACTAAAAAGACTTAAATATCATTTGACTAACCAAATAATGAAAAATAGCCATCTAGATATTTTTCAAAACTGAAAAGAGTAGTTGTGAAAACTGAAAATAAGGGTTCTACTAGATAAGATTCAAAAATTGAGACATGTTTTATAAGAAAATTCTCCAAAAAAAATTAGTTTAATGTTTGTTTTGCCAAGGCAAGATTGTTAGCTTTGTCATTTATTGGCTCATGTGGTCACCTTTAGTTCATGACATACCCTATGGCATGGGTTTGAATTCCCAATACCATAAGAATTAAGAATCTAGCTTTGGGCCTTTCAAGCTGGACTCTGGTAATGTGAAATAACCCGTTTACTACAGTTCCTAAGTTGGGCTTTGAAAATAGGACTTCAACACCCAATTATTGTTTGTTTAAAGAACTGTTAAAAAAAAAAAACACGGTATTTTGTGAAAGTGGAAATGAATCCAACTAGGAGGAAATGCAGTGTGACTAATAAAAACCTCAAAGTTAATTCATCATAACTATTTCTTTGTCATATAGAATGTCTATGATTTTGAATGGGAAGAGTGACAGTTACCCCCTCCCTAAAAATATTGAAAAAAGATCATTTTTATCTCAAGGTTCTTAATATGGTATCAGAGCGTTCGAAATCTCACTGTCTCCCACTTTCTTTGTAGTGGAATTTCCACATGTAGGTGGGCTTGTATGTTGTCCACCCTTCAAGCCCAGTGGGTTCTCGTGTGAGGGGGCGTGTTGAGAAATATAGTTCCACATTGGTTGTATGGGTAACTAATGTGAGGTTTATAAGGCCTTAGGCACTCTCACCATTTGAGTTAGCTTTTGGGGTGGTGTATACCAAGGGCAACTAATGTGGAGTTTATAAGGTCTTGGGCACTCTCACCCTTTGAGCTAGCTTTTAGGTGGTGTATCCCAAGGTTCTTAACAATTTTTATATTGAAATTTTGTATCTATTTCTTTCTTCGATGATTGGATCTCACCTATTTAATGCATATGAAGAGAAAAATAGATATAAAATTTTCACATGATCAGATTATGTTAAATTTTAACATGAGAGGATTCACTTAAAAAAATACATTTGACAATGATAATTTTTTAAATAAGTAATAAAGTCAATTAAATGGTAATTAATAAGATATGGGTTGGGTGTTCAGTGCCTAATGCAGAAGATGGGAGGACTGTGCTTAACCCACAAACTTAAAAGGAAAGCTGCCTAACCCAATAAATGACTTGCTGACCAACTTCTACTGGCCATGCAATTCTCACTAGATGTGTAGAATAGGAGGAGCCTCAAGAAAAAAAATGTAGAGTTGAGCCAACAATGTTAAAAAAGAAAAAAAAATAGTTGGTAAAGTTTGTGTCCAATCCATTTTCAATCAGGCAAAGTCTATGAAATACTAGAGTTAGCTTTCAAGAACTTGAGCACTTTCATCCTAAGATAACAATTTTGATTCACACTTCAATTTGTTAACCATGTATTGGCCCACAAAAATTAACACAATAATCAATAGAAGCTCCACCATTCAAAAGTTCCAGCTTCTGATAACAACACCCTTTCCATTATGAAGACGGTGTAGCTATTGCTAACTAGCTAGCTATACTTTTTTTTTTCCTTGTTTTTTATGGTGAACAAACTAGCTACCTCTACTCACTCTATACTAATTGCCCAAACACAATACAATAGCTCCGTAGAATTAAGAATTGGTAGGTTTGTGATGCATATATGCTGTTGCTAGTTAGCTGTATTTCCAATTTTACCTTCGTTTGGTAGAAGGTAAAATTCTCGAAAAACTAAATTTTTTTAAATTTTTAATTTTTTGATATTATCGTAAACTGAATGTTTTCATCATATTTTTGAAAATCAAAATTTTCGAATAAATAAATAATATCCACTGTCATGTCGTGATTTTTTCTTCTCAGAGCTAGGAACTCACATTTTCTTCCTCAATTTCAGAGTCCTCATTATTATAATGAGAAAAAATAAAATTCACGTCATAATGCCTTATTGATGGTACATAATAATACTTCAGGCAAAAACAAATACAAAATAATATTTAAGATGTTTCTTTTATTTGTTTGACTCGGGTAGCTTCTAATGTAGTTAAAGTCTTAATGAGGTGCCAACTTCCAGATACTAACAAAGAGAGATGGATTAATTTAATTCTCGTACACCTTCTCATATTACCTTGCTTAGAATCGCAATTCTTACAAATTGCATCATTCAACGGTTCACCTTCTTACATACGCTGCCTCTGCATGGGAAGACTCAAAACTTGAATCTAAATTCATCCCTCTTGCATGATTATTCAAAATCATGGATATATAAAATTGGCGATAAATTTGATATCCAATGCCAGGCTATGTAGATGAACAGATTTTCATCAAATATTACGAAAAGTTTTAGCTGTAATTAAGTTCCGATTTAAAATTAATCTCATAGTCGACTCAGAGAGTTGGAGTTGACTCGCCTCAAAGAGGTTATTAGAGTCAATATTCCAAAAATACATTTGATTGAGCTAGTGATAAAATATTTAAATAATATTAAAAATGAAAATCTTAACATAAGTTTCCATGCCACTGGTACACTAAAAAAACAAGAGTAAATATTTTTTCAATTCCTAACAAAAAATATGATCCTCACTTTAGTTTCTTACAAAAAAATTAATCGGTCGGTCCCTATGAAATTCAACGTGGACTCAATTTAGTCTTTTTGAGGAACTAATGTGGATCTTTTTTTGAATTTGTGAAGTACTACGATTTCAACTAAATGGGTTCATTTTGAATTTGTTAGGAACCTCGAGACTAATTTTTTTTTGTAAGAAACTAAAGTGTAAACCGTATTTTTTATTAAGGACCAAAAATGATATTTACTCAAAAAAAAAAAAAAAAAAAAAAACAACAACAACTACTCAGGTTTTAGCAATGCACGTGGGACGGAACTACGGTATACTACGTAGAGTCTCATGTAATGCAGAAATGTTAGTGGACTTTTTAATCAAAGGGATACTTTATCATATAATTTGTTTTAGTTATCAACTATAACTTTAATTAATTATTTAATCATATAATTTGTCACTTATGACCAATTCGGTTTTCATAATCTTAATTAGAAGTGTATGAGTATAATAATAATAATTAATCACCCACTTTATAAATCAAACTCTTTAATTAATTTAAATAATATATACTAATACATTTACCGTTGATCTATACAAATGACTCAACCATTGATTTAAGAAATTTAGAATCCACAAGAATAATGGCCCAATAAGTATGACCCGCATATTTAAAGAAATAACAATTTAAAATATAATAAATTACGATTAAATCCAAATCCAAAAGAAACAACATATATGATTTTGATTTATTTGGTCAAAAAGGAAAACAACAAAATTGGTGTGATTTGGGATCTAAAATTCGGGACATATTTTAAATGTTTTAATTGTAATTGTTTATTTAATTATTTTTAGTAGGTAGTTGTCATTATATTTATATATAGGATTTTGAATTTTGAATTGATTTGTAATTGGTCTATGAAAGGTTGTTTAAAAATTTTATTGTAAGAGTTGAATATTTTGTTATTTTGATAATTATAATTGATAACTGCATAATTACTTTTTTATGAAATACAAACTTCTTTTTCGTATGTGCTTTCAGCATAATATATTGGGTTCGCTTTTTCTGCAGTTACTGCAAATAACTTATCTGCAGTAAGCTCAATACGACGTCGTTTTGGGGCGGAAATCATGATGTTTTTGTAATTTTAATTTATTTCAGGGTTAAAATAGTCTTTATATTTATAATTTTTTAAGATTTCAATACCAAAACGACATCGTTTTAAGAAAAAATGCTGATAACTTATCTGCAGTAACTGCATAAATATTTTCCCCTAATATATTACTCATAATATACTAGATGATATTTATCAAAAAAAAAAATATATATATACTAGATGATAGTATAAAAACATTTAGACATATAATAAATATTAATTATTCTTTAACATTAGTATAACTTGTTTGTCTAAAACCAAAAGAAGTTTGTCTTTTTAACCTCAAACGCAATTCTAACAAAGGCAATGAAATATGAACCTCAATCTTGTTCTTTGTTTTCATGGTGCAACACTGATATTGATGTCTCTCTCTTGCATCCATAAAGTTACCAAATCTCACGGCAACACCTTTGAAGAAGTCTTAGTTAAATGTTACCTTAAAAATTCAGACACATCAACCTTTAAATGTTTAACCCCACACTAGTGCCGATAAGATAGGCCATTGCATGTGTTACCCTTATTCTCTCCCTCTTATAATTCCAACACAATCTCCCTCTCTTTCCCTTCAAAAACAACACATTCTTTCTCTTCTCTTTCACCTTCACAAAAGCTCTCTCTCTTGAACTGCAACATTCTGCAATGGCTGACACTTCTATGGGACCAACACCTCCACTGAAAGATGAGCTTGACATTGTTATCCCCACCATAAGGAACCTTGATTTCCTTGAGATGTGGAGGCCATTCTTTCAACCTTATCATTTGATCATTGTTCAGGATGGTGACCCCACAAAAATCATTAAGGTTCCACCTGGTTTTGATTATGAGCTTTATAACCGCAATGACATTAACAAGATGCTTGGTCCAAGGGCCTCTTGCATCTCCTTCAAGGACTCTGCTTGTCGCTGCTTTGGTTACATGGTGTCTAAGAAGAAGTACATCTACACCATTGATGATGACTGTTTTGTGAGTTTTCCAATCATTACTTTTTTTTACCCCTATATGGTGTCTGAATTTTGTTCAATGTTTGAAGAGTGGTTTTTTTTTTTTTTTTTAACTGGATTATCACATGCCCCCATGTCATGATTTTGTTTGCAGATTATCCTGAACCTTGTAAATTTTGGATCTTGTTATTCTGCTTTATGTGTAAAAGATGCTGCTTGTGTTACTTTTGGCCGTAGCATGCGTTAAATCTGTGTCTGCATTAGTCCATGTTTGTTCTGTTAGAAACAAGTTATTTTATGTTCCTCTGTAACATTAGATCTGTAAGTTTTAGGCATTATCTTTGAGAATTGGCTTTGTATTCACAAGTCTTTTAAGCTTTAACATTGGTCCATAGTGTTAATTTTGTCTTTCATATGTTTAACTCATAAGTCATCAGTGTTGGAAAGATTTCTATGATTAGTGTTGTGAATAAAATAATGTGGATTGAATCAATTGCAGCTGATGGAATTTGAGGTGCCCTGCAGTCATAGGACATTGGTTTTGTTTATTGATTTTATTAAATCATGTCTATACATTATAGTATTTCATTAATTTATAGTTCTTTCTACTAATTCTGTTTTTTCAAAGTTTTAGGATTCATTATTTTATTATGATTAATTTTAATCTTTTATCTATTTGTATTGTTAAATTTATTTATTTTTTGTGGCTTAGGTTGCCAATGATCCATCTGGAAAAGCAGTTAATGCACTTGAGCAGCATATTAGAAACCTTCTGTGTCCATCCACTCCTTTGTTTTTCAATACCCTCTATGACCCCTTCAGAGATGGTGCAGATTTTGTCCGTGGATACCCTTTTAGTTTTCGTGAAGGTGTACCAACTGCTGTTTCCCATGGACTTTGGCTCAACATCCCAGACTATGATGCTCCTACACAGCTTGTGAAGCCTCTTGAGAGGAACACTAGGTAATGTACTATGTAGTACTCTTATAAACCTATCTAAAATTCAAAGTTATTATTAAGGGAAATGATCTGTTTACAAATTTTTTTTACAAATTACATTAAGTATGACCGGTCATACACTCTTGATTGAAGTATGACCAGTCATACTTAATGTAGTTTGTAAGAGTTTGTAAACAAAAAGTTTGTAAATATAACATTTCCCTATTATTATTAGTATATACAAGTTTTGAGTCTGAGTATTGTGATTTATGCTTAAGGTATGTGGATGCTGTTCTGACCATTCCAAAAGGCACTTTATTTCCCATGTGTGGAATGAACTTGGCATTTGATCGTGATCTCATTGGACCAGCAATGTACTTTGGTCTAATGGGAGATGGTCAACCAATTGGACGCTATGATGATATGTGGGCTGGTTGGTGCTGCAAGGTCCATTTTTTTTTTGCTTTATTCTTACCATTCTCTCTTTCTATTTGACCTATTACTCTTGTGGCTTATGGTTTATACCATGAAGTAATCTTATAGTAACATTTAATAGTTATATGAACATTATGGCACATAAAACTGAAGAGTTATTTTCATTATGATTGGTTAGGTGATTTGTGATCATTTGAGGCTGGGAATCAAAACAGGTCTACCCTATATCTATCACAGCAAGGCAAGTAACCCTTTTGTAAATCTGAGGAAAGAGTACAAAGGCATATTCTGGCAGGAAGACATTATCCCATTCTTCCAGAGTCTTGTTCTTCCACAAGAATGCACCACTGTTCAGAAGTGCTACATTGAACTCTCCAAGCAAGTCAAGGAAAAACTTTCAAAGATTGATCCTTACTTTGACAAGCTTGCAGATGCCATGGTCACTTGGATTGAAGCTTGGGATGAACTTAACCCTTCTGGAGCATCTGAGGCCAATGGCAAAGCATAAACCAATCTTGGTTAACTGCAAACTTAGCCACTGAACTTGAAGTGGAACTATTTCTATACTGTACTATTTTTTAAGTATTTCTTTTCAAGGTCAATTTAAATTTGCAGCATTGCTAGCTGTAATAGTACTTTTTAATTTCATGCTTTGAGCTTAGAAACAATAAAGTACAATGGTCTAGGTCGTTGTTTTTTCTTTTGATTTTTGTTCCATGAGTAGACATCACTGCGGGACCTTATCATTTGGCAGCACTGAGTATCATGTGAAGCAAGTGTGTTCTAGGAAGAATGTTAATGTATGGTTTCATTTATTACTGTGCACAGATCAATATAGTGATCTAATTTTTACACTGATGTGTTCAGCAGTTTGATTTTTTCTTTAGGAAATTTTCTGCTACTCAAACCATTTCCCTTTCAGAGATATGCTAGTTTGAATTTGTAAACATCAAAATCTTACAATGGTCCCTCCCTCTCTTTGTTTTGTGAGAATAGATCTTCACATATCACATTTAACATCATTTACTCGGTATTTATTATCATAATGTTCTTTGACAAGAAACAATAGTCAATCAAATGAACATTTACAAAGAGTTTCGAAAACATGAAAACTGAAACTAGAGATATAATAAAGCAACGACAACTAATAAGAAACATATCATGCAATTCATATTCATATATGATATTTTGATAAGAATAAAATTCTCAATTTAGTAAAATTCTCTGTTACTAGTTTGTACTTATCCGGGTTTAATATTTCTAGAATATATTACTAGCACTGAACTTCAGTTTTTTCTTAAATTTTGTTGGAAATCGAAAACGAAAAAGAAAGGAGAGACAATAGACACAGCGATTTACCCTGATTCACCCAATTTAAGCTACGTCCAGCTTGTCTGTACTATATTCACATCACCGCCACTCGTTACAAGTCTCTCGGTTTATAAGACAAATATAAATAGGATTACAAAACCCTAACAGCAGCTATACATGGACCCAAGCTCAAACTACTAAGAAAATTACAATAAAACAGAGGCCCATAACAGTACCTAGCCTCTACGGGCCTAGGAGCGCTGCCCCCCGGACCCCTGCCCGCTCACCTGGAAGCGGGACCCCAGTTGTCTTTCTGCTGACCCCGACAACTAGGGTCATCATCAGCATGCCAAGTATAAGTCATACCCAACAAACTTCACCTATTATCATATTCTTATACCATATAAATTAATGGGATATAATTTTTCATATTGCATGAGGCAATTCTTTCTTTTAGTTGATGAATCTCACTTACTTTTTTGTATGTTGTTTTATCTCATGCAATATAAGAAACTATATTCTAATAAACTAAAGCTAGAATAATGAGCCTATAAAAAAAAAAAAGCTAGAATAATGAAATTAAATAAATGGGGAAAAAATAGAATGACTGATTGAGTATGCACGACCTGGTAGTAATATGTCTATAGAAGATTAGAATTTCATTAACTTAATCTTCTTTACTTTCACATCATTAAATAATCATATATATTACAATGTAGCTGCAATAGACATGTCCACATCCTTTATGAGATATGAAAGCTTATGTAATTACTAAACCATGATAGTTTAGTTGGTGTGAGGTAATTGATGAGGTAAGAGTAAAAATATGTGTTCGATCTTTTTTAGTATTATTTTTTGGAAAAATTTAACGTCTTAATTCCGAGATCTGCTCTAAATCAGATTAATTATGAAACGATAAATCGATTGAAATATTTTAAAAAAAAAACTTTTGACATTGGTTTTTTTTTTTTTTAAGTGAAGTTGGTACTGCATCAGCAGGATCTAGCTGTGATTTTGGTTTCATTTGGTGGGGTAGCATTCTTGTGTTTCTTTCAACATTTGTAAGTAGTTGTGTCCAGCTCCAAACTCCGCGACACAGTTAGCAGTGGAATTTACTGTTACATTGGGATTTGCGTCCCAGACTACTGTTTGTATCTGGTGAATCCGAATAATTCTTGTCCATAATTTTAGATTTGTGTCAGACCTCACCGACACTATGCTCCTAGTTAGATTCACATTTTACAGCCAAATTTTTTTACAGATGTGCCAGCTATTTAGTTATAGTGTAATGCAATTACACAACCAACAAAATAGTCTTGGACTCTTAAGCACAGTAACGTATCATAAATCTTGTTGGAAAATTGAAATGCTTTCGAATTCTTCCAGTATTATCTTTGGGAGAAGTTTAAAGCTTTAATCCTGGATCCGCTCCGAATCGGATTAGTTGCGAAGCTATGAACCGATTAGAATATTGTGATCCCATAATTAAAATAACATAAAAGTTAGACCCGTTTGGATGAATTTTTTAAAAAATGATTTTTTATGTCTTGTTTATTTTAAAAATATTTTTTATAAAAATTAAAATTTTGACTTCTACTTTTTTTAAAAAAGTTAAAATTTTTAGTTTAAAAAAAATTGGCTTTTTTATACTTTTGCTTTTAAAAAAAAAAAAAAAACCAATATTCAATCGAACTTTGTAGTGAAAAATACTTTAAAAAAAGGTTTTGGAGAAAAAAAAAGGGTTATGTGAATGTTATGTAACAGCAAAATAAATACATCATGTCATAGAGACATGTTTTTGTAGGGCCCATCAAATATTAGAAAGAAAAAATAAACAAAAAAGCTAGCACAGAAAACAATCTGAGAGTAGGAGGAAACAAAATTTTACAGTAACATGATTTTAGCTTTTCCCAAAAAAAATCATCCGGGCCGTATAATCCCCTACCGATTTCAATTTTAAACTATGGCAGAGATTTTTAAAGACAGGCTACCATCATTAAATCATAATCAGGGTATGATGTTCACATTCACATCACAATTGTTTTTTTTTTTAATCTAAACAATCTTAGATACCAGTTATTCTAAGTTAATTATAATAAATAGGTTCAGTGTACATCATACTACTGATCTGAATTGCTTGCATTTAGTCACAAATATTTTGATGTAAAAATCATAGCCAGAATGCAAGGTCCACTTGAGTAAGCAAATATTTTGGACGGCCTTCAAGAACCTGCATGCTCAAATTTGTTGGCCAGAAAAATCCGTCATTGTTTTCCCACGGTGTGTGCACATGCAGGACATAAAAAAGTTATCAAGATAGGAATAGGACTGCATGAGCTTTATACAAGAGTGTGTGATAGATATGTAGAGAAATAAATATGATGGCAAGTTTTTATTTCTCCATGAGGGGAAAATAACTTTATCTCCTGCACTCGTATCAAAGTGAATGAGGCCCTATAAGGAGAAGAGTCCGAGAGAGAAAAAACGGAATCAATCCCATCACTTTAATGTGAGTGCAGGAGACAAAATTATCTCCATCTTGCACGAGAAATATTATTCCCGTTGTTATTTTACTTCTTTGCAGAAAAACATTCCCATGCAAGTCAAAATTGGAACTTCAACTATATTAAACACGAAATACAAATTCACTGAAAAAAAATATATTATTCCACACAAATACAATTTCTAGAACCAAAAAAAAAATAATGCCAGATTCAAATAACTAATTTGATGCAAAGTGCCTTAATCTTGCCACAGCATTTTGCATAACTGATAATTGAGAAACAAGGCACATTATCTAGTTCTCTCACTCAGCTCACTCTATGTGCAAAGCTTAGTGAAAACAAATGGGATTTCCTGAGTGACCAAAAATATAGAATTCCAGGACCTCTAGATTTATGAAAATTAATTCCAAGAACCTCATTTTGGGAGCTAAGATGTAATATTATCTTCAGTCTTCGGCCTCTTACTTATAGGTTCTTCATTGTCTTCCTGGTTGAGAGCTCCATTAATTGCTGCTGGACCCAAAAGAGAGACATGCTTGCTAGTAATTTGACGTCCTGCCCTAAGTTTTGGACCCCAGTGTCTTTCAGGATTTGGAAGAAAGCGTGCAACCTTCTTAGCTTGTGCCTTGCTAAGAGATGCTACTGCTCGAGCAAAATTAGCCTAAAAAGGACAAGGAAGAAAAGTTTTAACCACCATTACTACACCTAATCATAGGCCAGGCCAAATGCAAAATCTGGGCTGAGACCAAGTCAAAGTCTCTGGCAATTAATCATGGCCCAAACATGCTCAAAGGCCGTATTATATGCTATAACTCTAAAAAACAATTATATTAATTACAAAAAAAAAAAAAAAAAAAAACATGTCTTATTATTTTATGGTTTTAGTAAAATACATTAACAACTTATTGGAATTTGGAAGATGTTTGTTAGGAATATAAATATAAAAAACATTCATGTGCCTTTAAATAGCAATTTAAGCTTTTGGAAGACTTAGATCAAGACATGGTATTAGTCTATTAGAGCCTCTATAAACAAGTTGTCTAAAGTTCAAACCTTGCCCCCAATTCTTCAAATAATTATTGTGGAATTTTTTAGCACAAGATAGGTGGGGCCGTGTATTATCCACCCTAGAAACTCAAAAGGCTCTTCGATGGAACCCAGAGAAATACAAGACTAAATTCATTAACAATGGAGGCATAACCTCTTTTTACATACACTAATACAATATAAATGCAGAAAATAAACCCCAAGAAAGCCTCAACTCCCCCTCAAACCAAATACCTAGGCTCAAGAGTTCCCTAGAGGTCTCTCAATTTCCCCACTAAACAGTATTGAATACATGCATAACAGAAACATCACCCTAAACTTCTATATATACTAATTCTAAAATACTAATGGGCTTGGATTACTTATTATAGGCCCATCAATCTTGTGTGAGAAGAAGTGCAAAAAAGATATATAAATATAAAAATCATTCATGTCCTTCACCCAAGGGCTTAAGTTTTTTGAAGACTTGGTTCATAATGAAGCTGTGCTGCCTCATAATACAAAGTTTACCCAACCAAAAAAATTTATAAGCACAAGCCACTTAGGCTTGGCTCACTCAAGTTAGGTGGGCAGCCTGCTATATATCAAGGCACACCTGTCACAGACTAACTAGATTCTACCATTACCATGCTCACCCTCTTTCTATTCCCCTACCTCTCCCACCACAAATCTGTGCAACACACGTCATAGTTATTTATTATCCCCCATAACTTGAGTGGTTAAATATACCTGAAGAACAGGTTCCTTGGCAAGTATGATACTTCCTGGTTGATCTGCTGGCTGAGCTTTCACAGGATGTTGTTTTACCTACAAAAAAGGGAATCAGTGAACAAAGAGTAGATATGCAAATCAATCTTATGCCCTTCCCAGAATACCCAAGCATTATGAAACGAGAATTTGTAATTGTAAGTTCTAGTCATACTATTGTTTAAAGGGACAAAGCATTTTATATATAAATGCCCACACACACACTCAGGCATCAGAAATTCAGATTCTGCAGGAACCAACAGAGCCAACATATAAAGAACAAGCCTTAACCATGAGCTGACAGCCAGCAGCAATCATGTATAATCGCTTACCCAGCAACGCATTATATCCCAAATAACATCCATGGGTGCATCTGATTTAAGCCCTAGTGGATTAACATGAGTTCCTGAAATACGATAGCCCGCATTGATCACAGCAGAACGAAAAATAATTGCTGATGGAGAAGTGCATTTAAGGGTTGCACAGAGGTTGTGCAGACTCAAAAACAAGGGAACATCTGACAATTCCTGCAAAGAGCACACTCATAAATAATAGAAGAATTGGGTGTCCAGTAACCAAGTTAAGAAAAGCACCAAACATCTGAATCGTACCATATCACATTAAAAAATAGGCATAAAAAAAAAACCTCTGAAATTGTAGTCAACACAGCTGATATGCGGTCATAAGCAGGATACCTCTCCTTCATAGATTTCACATCTGATAGTATAGAAGCGACCCATTCTTGGTCATGGATAGGAGCAGACCATATAGGGCCACCCATATTGAATTTTTTCCCACAATCACTGCATTCTTGAGGAACAATAGGACCATAGCCAGGCAAATATCTGACGCTAGTATTCTGAAAAAAATTAAAATTGAAAATAAGGTCCCCCCTCAAGACATCATTGCATTTTATATTCAATCAAAATAAAGCAATATAGTTAAATGGCCATCCAGGCTTCAAGGAGTACAACAAACTAGCCCTTTGACCTTTTGCAAAGAACATATTTTGGTTGCATGGCATAGTTCTATTGTTTCTTAGTTTGCGCAGTCTAGGGAAATGCATTATCATAATAGAATTGATCATCCAGCACAACTGCATATTACAGTCAGGACTTTGCAAAGAAATGGCACCTATAAAAAGTTAGGTAAATCTAGAAAAAGTAAAAAAATAAAAATAAAGAATAATAATTTTTATCCTTGTTGAAAATAGATCCCATATTTATTAGATTGTATATTTTCTGAATGATTATGTATTGATTTGATTTTGATTAGATTTGATTTGTATTTCCCTTGTTATTAGTGAGTGTAAATCACATATATAAAATGAATGGGGCTGTGAGGAATTCTCAAGCCATTCACAAAAATCCCTTTGAACAATCCTTACACTCTTGTTTATATGTATGTATTTAATGGTGGCAGAAATAACCATCCCAAGAACAAAAAAGAGACCGATGGGTCAAACCTATAAACAAACAGTTTGTCCCTCTCACTATTTAAGGATCAAAACCAGCCAAATTCAGTGAGCACTTGAACCTTGGTAAGTATATCCATACACGGCATTCCATAGCTTTGATAAAGCAAAATAGGCAAAGCAATCATAAAGCTAGATGTAAAAAAGAAAGGTACATATCAAAACACAGATATTCACAACACGCATAAGACACTGACAATAACAACAAAAGGCCAATAACTTTGATAAATACAGTGCCTACAAGAACAGCAACATGACAATAGGCACAGAGAGAAAGTAGAAAATAGTGAATTGAAATTAATGATTCTGTTTTCTAATTGGGTTATTGCATTACATATAATATACAAACAAAAATGGTTTTTAATGTACTGAGATGTCGAAATGGTGCCTATAACAAACCAGAAAAGGATACAGACCTTGGAAATGGTCCTCCCAATGGGCTGTAGGTGGAAAGAATCACAACCAGTGCATTGATAAACATATGAAAGCTTTAGGGGAGTGTTTTTCATAGAACTGGCAGAACTGCAACCAAGTATTTCATCTTTCAGTTGGCAGCAAGGAAAATAATGTAATGTTACGGAATCATTATTTAATAAATACAGACAATATGTTTAATAAAAGACATGACAGCAAAACTAAGTGCACTTACGTGTATATGCGAACAAAAACACGAACATAGAAGTCCATCTGAACAGATAACACAGGAACAATATACCGCTTGTAACGATTCGCATGACTCTGCATTATATGAAGAGCAAAATATTATGTACTTGCAAAAACAAAAATTGATAGATATCCAACAGATCCAAAATTTAACACAATATGTTTGGTCGTTGATGTTTGCCTGGCTATATAATATCAACCCAGGCATCTAAATAACAGGAGAATACATAACTTGATAGGTGCTAGTGCTTTATCCAATAAACTTTTATTTGATAAAAAATATCAACCATCATTAGTTGAACAATAATATCAACCATCTAGCAAGCACAATAGAAATAATCTAAATGACCAATTGAGCAATAACTCTCTTGGAACCTTCAATAAATATTAATATTCTAATATTCCTAAATACGGAAAATATCAACGATTTGTTTAGGTTGATGGATAAACTATCATAAAAATATTCGAACAAAGAGATACTGGTACTTTTCCACAATCTTTTTCTTTCAGAAAATTTTTAGATAGAGTACTACAACAGACAATCAGAACCAAAAAGAAAATGCAACATTTATTACACATCGACGTTGGAAAAGGAGCTTTTGATGTTTCCATTTCTAGCATTTTCTTAAATGCTGATAGTGGACTTGACTTTCATGATATCATTGTAAAAGTAGTTAGATACCAAAGAACAGATAACCCAATAACACTATAGAATTTCAAAACATTAGTAAAACTATATACTGATGAGACAATCAAGCCATCTCTCAATTCCTATCGATTGAAACTAGCTTTTATATCTAATTTCATCGTAAAGAACTTCAGCATTATATGTATATATACCTCAATGCAAGCCAGAACAATCCTCAAGGCCATTTCGTGGCAATATTTCCCTCTCAGTGGGTATGATCCATATCTAGTATGAATAAAAGTTGTAAGACAATTAGTCCACCAATCAAACAACTTTGGGATGAAAGTTCTTAGCCAATAAGAGTATGAACATTACTTTGAATAGCAGACCTCCCCATTTCCCCCACAGAGAACAGCCATATCTGTTGCAGTACACATAAGCATACCTCCATCAGCAACAGATTGAACTGCTGAATCCAGAAAAACAGAAGGCGAACCATAAGGATCAAGATCAACCTGAAAAACAGATCATGTAAAGAATATGAAAAGTGTATTTTCTTTAGACTAAAAGGTGAATACAAGAAGTACATAACAGTAGCATCCACTTACCACATCAAATTCTTTAGGGTGGGTTAGCATATATACACGAGCATCAGCAAGATGGGACTCCACCTTTGAAACTGCAACTGAACCATTGAATTTGATGTTCCTTCTGCAAGCTTCAACAGAAACTGCCAGAAGCAAAAATCAAGAGTAGCAATTATTAGTACCCAAAGAGAAGACCATCCACAAAAGGGCAGAGCATTCCATGTTTTAAAACCATAGAATAAAATTTAAAGACAATATAAACTGAAAAACCTTTGAAGCACCTTTATCATTGTCCAGAGCAACAACCTGACCAATCCCTTCTACTTCACGAGCATATCTGAGAGCCCTTAACCCAGAAGCAGACAAGGCCTGTATGCAGGCCAGTAAAAGAGAAGTTATACACATGCTACTTGTTCTGGATTTGAATAACAGAAAAAAATTTAAATCAGAGATTGAATAGACAATGGTAATGATGATGCGTGGATGACATGAAACAGCTATATAAATGAAATCTAAAAATCGTGGAAAACCTCAAGAACTCTTGGCGGCATCAGTTCCCTCTTTCCTTTTCTTTCCTTAAGATCCATTGGCCCTTCTGTAGTGCTGCATTCTTCAGTGATCTTGACTGAACCTTCCATGGTACTGCATGGTTCTTCTGGAGATATCTCTTCCTCTACTTCACATTCGCCATTAGACTTATGATCTTCTGGTGTAGTTTTGTGTGGCAATTCCTCCACAACCATTTCAGAAGCATCATTTTCAGATACTTTTTGTGCCCCTTTTGTTCTCTTGGACAAAAATGCTTCATGCTCTTGCTTACGTTTGGATATAAATGTTCTCAAAACAGCAATTGATATATCCCTGTTATTAACCTGATATTTGTAAAGCAGAATAAATAAAAGATCAGTATACGAAGTTGATTTTTTATGCTCACACCCAAAATTAAGTAAACAAATAAACAGATGAATTACATTGAAACATTACAAAAGACAACGAATAAAGATTTTAGCTAACAAATCTAACCAGTAGACACCTTAATAATTCAACTGACAAACATAGAGGCATCAATAAAACCCCATCTCAAGCAATTTATATCTAACATCATCCCACTATTCGACTTCCCAACATTTTTTCTTCACATCCCATCATTTTTCTATCATTTTTCTAAAACCCAATTTATATCTGATTTAAAAATAAATAAATAAACTTAAACTGGGTTTTTCACCACAAGCATAATTTCAAAGCCAAAAAAAAAAAAAAAAAAAAAAAATCATAATTAAAAAAGCAAACTTTTTGGACCTGAGTTTTGTTATAAAAGACTTCATTCTTTGCGTGCATAAGAATCTCAGCTTCTCCTTCCTTAATGATTTTATAATCATTGAGATCCGTAGACATTGTTCTTCTTATATCATGCAAAAACAAATTGAGGGTCTCTTCCTCCTTCTTCCGCTTCTTCTTCTCCTCTTCCTTTGCTTGTTCTAAGGTTTTGGTGCAAAAAGAAGACAAAGAAATGAGCAGAGAAAGAGGGTTTGTTGCAATTCTACTTGCTGTAACAAGCTTCAGTGGCAGTTTTAGAGCACGAGGCTCTGAAATCAACATAGCAAGTGTTTATATACATGGCTTTCAAACGTGGTAACTGAAAACCCTATTTTGAATTTTTCTATTTTTTTTTCTGCCTCTTTTTCTTAAACCCTAGGCCTCATCACAATTCACACACAGCCCTAACAAGTCAAATTACCGAGTGGGTCTTTAGATTTTTTTTTTTTATCCCTAACAAAAAAAATACGGTCCCCACTTCCCTTACAAAAATAAATTAGTCAGTCCCTAACAAATTCAAGGTGGACTCATTTTAGTTCTTTTAAGGACTAATATGGGTCTTTTTTGAATTTGTGAGGGACCACGATTTCAACTAAATGGATCCACTTTGAATTTGTTAGAGACTAACTGACTAATTTATTTTTGTAAAGGACCAAAGTGGGGACCGTGTTTTTTGTTAGGGACTAAAAAGGATATTTATTTTTTTTTACTTTCTTTTCAATTTCTTAATTACTATATTGGATTTGTTAATGATTTTATTATGTGCAACTCATTATATAATTTGATGTTTATTGAAGAAGTTTTGTTTGGTATATACTAACGAGTGTCGTTCAAAACGACTAATCCGATTTTAGATTTGCGCTCCTCCATATTTCTCTCCAGATGAGACTCTCTCTTCATACGAAACTCATTAAGCGAGTTAAAAGATATCTTTAAGATGATTGTTAAATTAATAAGCATTTTGCAAATTTTTATCAAAGCTATTATAGAATATACGGGTTTAATTGTTATTTTTAACCAGTAATTAAAATAAATTTCATTTAAAATTTGTAAGAATTTGTGAGATGAGACATAGAGTTGGAGCAAGTATTATTATTATTATTATTATTTGTAAAGAATATATAAGTTAAGCACTTGAAAATAGTCAAGAAAATAAATTAAATATTATAGTTACTGTATATTTAAGTTACTTTGTTTTAAAATTAAAAATACAGTAGTATTTTTTTTGAAAAGAGCCATTGAAAAAAATATTGTGTCTTTATAGTTAAACTTTCTAAATATGCGGATAATCTTTTATTGTTCTACAATGGTTTAGGATATGCACTAGAAAAAAAAATTATACTCTTTAAATTGGGAAAGCAACTTTATCAATAATTATATTAATTTAGTTTTTAATAACTATTTTGGAAAAAATAAATTTGAAACGTACAATATGGAATAAAATATTGTAGAATTCATTATCACTTTTCTGTGTTTACTGTCACTTTTATTTGTCTAAATTTCATCTAAGATATACTTTTTCTTCTTTTAATCAAATTGGTAGTTTAGAGTTTAACCAAAAAATAAATAAAAATTAATAGTTTAGAGAAATTATACGAAATTAATTAAAGTGAGATGACATACTAGTATTTAGAACTACTACCAATTAAGGTATTGACCGAGTGGTAGTAGCTTAAGTTTATTTATTTTTTGGTTAAACTCTAAACTACCAATTTGATTAAAAGAAGAAAAAGTATATCTTAGATGAAATTTAGACAAATAAAAGTGACAGTAAACACATAAAAGTGATAATGAATTCTACAATATTTTATTCCATATTGTACGTTTCAAATTTGTTTTTTTTCGCTTAGAGCTACCAATACATTATTCCCTTGTTTTTTTTTTTTTTTTTTTTTGGTAAATCATTATTCCCTTGTTTCAATGCTATATAGTACATGTTTTCACTTGTTAGTTTTAATTTGCTCATAAAAAATTGTGTTCTTATTGCATGACTTATTTTGTCGTGTAAATTTTATTAGTTTGGAGTAAAATGTAAATATCCCTAATGAGATGAGTTTTATGTTATATTTCACCCGTTGTATTTTTATTTTTATTTGTGTATAAAAGGGATAAAAGCCTAGGTGTAACTAAAGTTAAACCACATCCCATTCCCCAAACAATTATTAGTACTATTATTAATGTCAATATTTGAGTTATTTTTTCTTTCAATTTTGGTGAACTTAGATATTTTATTCATTCAAAAAATAGAAAGAAAAAAACCACAAATAGAGAAAATAATTTTGAAAAAACTTCTTTTTATATAAATCTAACAGAATTCGAATCGAATATAATCTATAGAGAAATTTAAAATAATAATTATATCTTAGCAAAAATACAAATTGTTGAAAATAGTAAGAGGAAGGACCCAAAGTGAATAGGTGATCTCTAATGTATATGGAAATAAATTCTCTCATATTTTATTTAACATGATCGTATCATGTGAAAAAATCATAATTATTCAAAGATGAATTACGATGATGATTTTATAATTATCTATCTTAATATTTTTTCTCTCTTTTTTTGTATTATCATTTATTCATCTTAGTATAATTATAATTCTTCCGTGTGATATGATCATATTAATTAACAATCAACTTCCATTTTTATACTAATATCTATGAGTGGCCAAGATTTTTAATTGAATACGTAATCTTTTGTAGATATCTATAGTCTCTAGAATATCAATAAGCAAAGTCTTTCACTTAAACAATACACTCCCATCGAATTGCAACAATTTATTATTTAGATCGATTACTACATGACACTAAACTATACACTCCATGTGAATATAGGCAATTTATTTTGCAATTTAGAAATTATTTTTAACGTAAAGAAATAAACGTATATATATTTTAAAATCTGGGTAGGTTAAAATCGCAATAAAATTTTAAATAAAATGAAATATAAACTAAGTTTATAAAGATCAGATTAAATAACTCAACAAAATTAAATGAATTTAATTGGTTAAAAAACTACAAAATTAACTACTAGTCAACTAAAATTACGAAGCATTTTTTTTGAATTTTTTAAAATTCCATTTAAAAATAAACATATATCAATTTTTAGTATCTGTTAATGTGAAGTCCCCCACCAAAAGTGAATTGAAGTCTTTAAATACAAGTTAATCACACAAAAATCATTTAAAAATTGACATTTTTAAACTCAGGGCTCAAATTAAATTTAACTTCCTTTAGCCCAGTTTCAATTTGTCCCAACCCATTAGATTAAATGAATTGGACCTATTCGTGCTCCTCACTCATTTGTTCACTTCACCCATTTGCATCTTGAGTCTTATCGTTCCTCTACAGTTACCAGATCTTTCTCGTGCTTTGGTAACAAATGTTGTTTTAGTTGATTTTTTTTTCTAATTCCTAAATTCCTTCAATATGTATTTATTTTAAGAGAATTTGTTTTTATCTTTGATGACATAATTTTAAATCATTTTAAGTGAAATATAGTATATTATTATAATATTTAGCTAATTAAGAAAATAAATAATTTCTTTTAGATGAATACAAAATAACTGATTAAATATTATAGTAAAATGTCACTTAACATAATATAAAATTATATCTTTTAAAAGGATAAATATTTTTCCTTATTTTAAATACAAGATGTTATTTATTTCATCACAAATTACAAAAGTTCTCACTAGCCAAGTTTTTTTTTTTTTGGTCTTACAACAACAAAGACCATGATTAGAGTGGGTAGCCCACCCTTATGCTTATTTTCACCAATTAATTTGGGACAAATTGAAGAATCAACTAATTAGAAGTTATATAATGATAATTAAGAATATATTAAAACAAAAATGTGTAATTTATCGCCGAGTAGAGTAGTGCATGCTTGGGATCTAAGTGGAGAGCACATTTTTTGGGTAACAAGAGTAAGTACTCACTTACCAAAAAATGAAAAAAAAAATGAATATAGGAGGAATAACCATAAAAATATAGGTAGCATAAATAAATTACTTTTTGTCATATTCAATAAAAATTGTACGTAGTGCTTGTTGGAATTAATGAACAATGATCTATTGGTTATGAATAAAAAGTGGGTTAATAAAAAAAAGAAAGTTGAAGAGGTGGGCTCTTTGATCAATTGGGGTTTTTTGTGATTTTAATTTATCAATTTGGTATTTGGTTCAAGGTATTTACAAATGGGGTTATTTAGTGACGCGAGGGGGACCCAGCGTCACTGAGTGCCGCTACCATCCCCCGCGTCGCTCACACTTTTTTATTTTTATTTTTTTACTTTTTTCTATTGAGTGTTGCCCCCTCTCCTAGGGCACTCACAGAATTGTGCCAAGTGACACAATTTGATTACTTCTATTACCGTAAAACTTCGGAAAGCCATAACTTTTGACTCGGGTATCCAAATTAGATGATTTTTTTTTTATTTTACATAACTTTTCGAGATCTACGCAATGACATCTTATTTGACATATGTTATCTCTCAAAAACATAATTCAAATCTGTAAAAAAGTGTAATTAGTATTGCAAATTTGAACTATATTAATGGAAGATAAAATATATCAAATGAGATGTCATTGCGTAGATCTCGAAAAGTTATATGAAATAAAAAAAATCATCTGATTTGGATACCCGAGTCAAAAGTTATAGCTTTCCGAAGTTTTATGATAATAGGAGTAATCAGATTGTGTCACTTGGCACAATTCTGTGAGTGCCCCAAGGGAGGGGGGCACTCAATAGAAAAAAGTAAAAAAAAAAAAAGTAAAAAAGTGTGAGTGACGCGGGGGGATGGTAGGGCACTCAGTGACGCTGGGTCCCCCTCGCGTCACTAAATGACCCCCATTCGTAAATACCTTGAACCAAATACCAAATTGATAAATTAAAAAAATAAAAACCCTTAATGGGTGAAAGAGCCTGAAGAGGTGTGTGGGTTTTTAACAAGTCTCACATTGGACAAATAGTAGGAAGTGGGAGAGTTTACAAGCTCTCACCTCACTCTCCAAGAGTTTATAATTTTTTATTAATTATTTTTTAATATTTTGTGCAAAAATGTATTTGTTGCTTCCCTCTAAAATTTCGAACCCAAACGTTTCTACCAGTCGATTTTTTGAGCAATTTTAAACTGAATTGGTTCTTCCTTTTCGCGAACCGGTCACAGGTTGTGTCTGCTCGCCGAACTGGTCACCGGTTGTACCTGTTCGTTGGAACGGTCACCGGTCGCACCCGTTCGCCGCTGTCAGACACGGGGGTTCGCCGCCGGCGAATCATCGTGACCGGTCAGTGTCTATAAATAGACACTGACAC